CTGTTAAAGGATATATCCATATGGTCATTCCATCTGCTAAGGGTGATAACCAAACCATGTAAGATCTTTCTAGCAAAAGCAGAGTACCTGACAACCATCACTTCCTCAGTGATTAGTGTTTGTAGCTGATTTGTCAGGCTTATTTATTAAATGAGGGATGCATGGCAACGTGCGCAAAACGGTTCAACCCTTTGCATAATGTACTTTGACAAGATACACCAAGTTATTTGTTAAAGTTGACATTAAAGGAAGCACAATATGAACAAATGCTAGATTACACCACTAACCTACAGGAAAAGACAGTGCCTTACAACCTGTAGCTTTAAATGCTAAATTAGGAACACACTACAGTACAGAGCTATATAAACACCTGTTTCTCACTGCAAAGTACAAACCAAATAGCTATTTTCATCCCAAACCACAAGGCTGTCACTTTCCTGCATGCTGCTCTGCTACATGGAAGTGAAACTTTTTTTTTTATGCAACCTTTTATGAAGGGTTGCTATGGCATCATCTACAAAAATTGACACCAAAGGTTGGCACGGTTTTACTCTGCTGTATAAAGTCTGCCTTGATACAACACACTGGGATTTGCTCGCGGTATTGAGTACTCGGGACTGGTTAACACCACGTTCCAAGACTCTCTACGCACTTACAGATTTTTGCCTGAGGAAAGGTAAACATTTCTGAGTGCCACCTTACTGTGTCAACTGTTACTGCAGTTACCCGTCAAAAGTTTTACTTGTTGAGTCTGTCTCAGTACAGCACTACAGAAAAACCACTGTGGTCATCTTGTTTGAATTATTCAGGTTTTTGTTTGAACTACAGCATGCTTTTTTAAAAAGCACCCTGTGCTTTACTCTGTGTGGGAGCATGTCTTTAAATTCTGCTTTCCATTATTTTCCATTTTGTTCAGCAATTCTGACATGAATTCAGAATTCTGACCCCTAGAGAGCACACCATAATACATAATCCTGCCCATTCTTGCTGACTCTGCAGCTGAACTCGTATTTACCTTAAATCTCTCTCCCATTCAATACAATCCACTGAAGAACTTTATGCTTACAAAGGATGACAGATGGTTAAACCTGGCTATCAGTATCTTGGTTCCCCCTAGAGGACCAGATGTCAGTTTAGCTTAGACGTCAAACAGAAGGCTGGACACAGACCAGTTTGACAAACTCTATGGATCCTGAATAGTTCCAGCTTAAATCACAATGAAGTCTAGAGCAGTTAAGATTTCATTTTAAATTAAAACCTTGCACAGAGTAGGAATACCTGAGTGTGTGTCCTTAAAATCAAAGCAAATCGAGAAACACTAGCTTTTGGAAATACTGTTCTGTCCCATAAAGAGAGTCAACATTTCTGGTCCATTACATAACAATTATTCAAGACTTCGTCACTACAGCAATCTATGTGCATGTACCATAGCAAGCCCGTTTCTCATTTACGTGAGGGGCTCTGCAATTGCTGATAATTAATCTACTGCACTGGTAACAGAACACTGATGAAATTTGCTAGTTAAAAACACATGAACTGGAACTTGCAGCACTGGAATTCAAGTATATCAAGACTATCGCGGCTTAAAATAATCTGATAGCTTTCCTGCATTTTAACAGTTGTATCTACAGGTATAGCTTTGCAGACTTACTACTTGTCTGCATTTTAATCTTTTATATAACTGGAAGACTACAAGAGCTAGCTTTTCCTCCAAGGAACAGAATTTCTGACTTCTTAAATTGCTATTAACAAATTATTAAAGGTTGTCACAAATATCTAACATGATACATGTCTGTCTTTAAACTTAGAGAACAGCGTGACTTTAGTACCTCTCTAAAACAAAAAGAATGTGTGAAAAACTACTATTGAAGTAAAGCAGACCTTTCCCCCCTGTAGAAAAAAGTTCTGAAGTTAGTCTCAATTACTTAGGAATAACTGGTTTGATTTTCCAATTTCTCGCTGTATTCTTTTTACAATACTGTTGCTCCTTTTATTAAAGCTATGTGGAGAAAATGCTTGGGGTGTCATAATGGAGAACTTGGCTCTGATGCCTCAGGTAGTCTTGAAAGAGAGATTTATTTCAACTGATACATTGTCTTTCATTCGCGTTTGCACAGAAAGAAAGGAAACACACTATCAAAATTCCACTTGAAGCCAATTTTTACTGCAAGAATAGTACTGTAAAATTGTATTTCCAATCAGTTTCTCTAGGAAGGTAAGTTTCAAACAATCTCAGCAGAAATATTTCAATAGACTACATTCCTAGGGCTTATTCTTTCCTCTGCAAGAACTGATGAGCTAGCTATGAACTCCTAAAAACATTCTTTATGTGGTGCATCAAAAATGGAAAGAGGACTTGACAGCTCTCAGCGTAAGTGAATATACTTACTCCTCCTTTCCATCCTGGTTAATTGATCCACAGATATCCTTTCGTACTCTCTAATTTGGCTGAGCTAAGAAATAAATCACAGCATTACAGAAACTTAGTCAAACAGAGCTGAAATTCTAGAGAAATACTTGATTGGTATGAGTATCCATAAGAAACACTCACCCAGAAGACAAATCAAGAAAATAATTTCATTATTGCATCTTCACAACTTGGAGATGTTTAACGGCATGACACTGTAATATTCTGCTATTTCATTAACTCATTCCTAAAATTTAAGTAGGACCCTTATGCACTACAAAGTAAGGAACAAAAGTGGAAGCACAGACAGGAAGGACAAACAGCAATCCTAAAACAGCATTTACAACTTGGAAAGGAGATTGCTGGGCTGAACAAACTTATGGTGATGTGGAAATTGGGATGTTGACACAATTCTTACCTTGGATACACAACTGGTGAAAAACCACCAGTTTCACACATTGCTGACAAGCCAAAACAAGGTAGGAATTCTGTATAGTCACATTCATAAGCAGAGACCTTCTCCTGATGCCAGCTCTCTAAGCACTCTCTGATGAAAGATACATCTCTGCAGATATAACACCTAACAGATTTTCAAGTAGCTACAAGATATGAAAGCGGGTTTGCATCTGTCTGCATATTATTTATGCCTTTTTGCCAGTTTTCTATCAGGACTGTTTCAGGCGGGGGGTGGGTGGGTCAGCTGGGTTTTTTGGGGCCGGGTGGGTTGGCAGTGGTGTTGTGGTTTTTTACTTTACAGAGCGAAAAAGGGCCTTGGAACACTCTCCCGCTTGGTTTCTTTGCCTATTTGTGTACAAATGCTCAAAGTCATATTATTTTGCTCTTCCCCTCCTTGAATGGGGATATTTGTTCATGACGTGGTAAAATTTGAACACAGTTGTGTTGATAAATTTTTTCAGCATCAATAATAACTTTTCTTACTTAGCAATCCAATTTGAAAATTGAGTATATAATGATTACATTTTACTTAGGGTATTCTGTAAGGATGAAAGCACATTAACAGTTTTCTTTAGTTCCAAGCCATTTCAGTTCCATCAAAGTTCTCTTAACACTACTGAAACATTTTTTACTCTTCACAGACCCTAGCTCTAACTTACCAGGTATGGAGGGAGGAAGACTTGTTATCTATCATTTTATGAAAGTACTAAAAGAAAGGTGACACAAACCAAGATGCTTTCTTGGAAGCTGCCTCAGGTTATCAGATGCAAGTGGCAAACAAGACTGCATTATCAAACCATTGTGCCTTTTCCTGCACAATAGGGGAAAAGCAACATCCAGAAGACCCTTCAGATTTCCATTGTGATAACATAGCTCAGCTTCGCAATAAGGTAAAATGAAATTCAACGAAGTTCTGCAGCACAGTAAAATTGCTTACTTAGCAGCAGCGGTATTTCCTCTGCCGTTAAACTTTATCACCCAATCAAAAGGCTAAATGACAGATCTAAACCAAACTTCCAGACCTGACCTGATCACTTGTTCACCTCTTCTCTGGAGAATACTACTGTTCAAGAACACATTCTGCTCTTACCAGTCCCCTCTAAGCATGACAGACACGCATTCCACCTACCGCTACATTCCAGCTGTCAGATGAATCAACACTACTACTGCTAGCTCCAGAAAGAGTGAGGCTTCACCCAGTTAAAGTAACTTGCCTACCTCTAGTCTTGGGGACTGGCTGTTCATCATCTCTCTGTTGTAGTGTGTCTACCTGTTCCAAAGGGCTATCCAGCTGTCTGATAGCCTGAAAGCCCAAAAGGCTAGGGATGTACTTCCTAGGTGGGAAAGAAGAAAAAAAGAAGTAGGAAAAAGCGATTGGAAATACCAGAGGTGGTAGAGAAGAAATTATCTAATCCCAGGGTAAAAACAGGATGAGAAAGAGAAAGTATGGGCTTCAAGAAGCAACAGCCTTATAAACCAGAGAGAGTGAGCGCTTCTTGAGAGTTATTTGAGGTGTAAGAAAAAAGTTAGGTACTACTCACGTACAGCAAAAAATAAGCAGCAGCAAACAGTAGTCATGTTCAACAAGAAACACAGGCTTGTGGCATCTAAGTGCTTCGTATATAATACCTACCCAGCACATTACTTTTGTGGATAAAGCTTTTCAAGCTGTTTTTCTCCAGTTATGTTTAGAATTTAACATTTCTAAGCTTACTGTGCCTCCATATCTCGTATTAATTTGAAATGGGTCTAGATAAACACATTGTCACACACCTGTTCTTACCTCTGATACTCCCTGCTTCAGTCATACACATGTCCCATCCAATGCTGAAAGGTGGAAAGGAAATGAGGTATGACATTTGGAAATCGCTTGCAGTCAACCTTGCTACAGCCAGCCCTGCCTAGTGCAACAACGCTGCCACTGGAAGGTTTGTTACAAGATAGAGTTGCATAGTTTTTTCTTTAAATAACAGCATATATGACCTACTTATACTACAGAATGCAGACAAACACTGGCAATATTTATTCCCCTTGCTATATAGGGAGAGGTTTGCATACATAAGATACCCTTAAACTGACATAAAGTTAGA